GGTTGAATTGGCATGGTTGGCTGACACCGCGACTCTATGTGGTGGGAGCGTGATAGGGGTTCGGTGTCAGCAGTGTTACGTTGTTGTTGAAAAAGATGGTGAATAAATGCCTGGTGTGAACCACTACTGCCTCCTGCTGGATTATTCGGGAATTACCAGTCTGCTGCTGAGACGCTCGGGGTCGTGCGGTGTATGAGGCACGAGCGCTCTCCATTCGCTGTAAAGTTTAGCGATAGCTGCTAGCGCCCTGCTAGCCGTTTTAGCTAGTGAGCAGTTTAGCCAGTTTAGCTCCACTAACCCACGGTCGCTACAATATATATATCACAATAATCTGACAATACTATAATATTGGCCATATTATATTTACATTGCCACAGTGAGTTGACTTTAGTCTCATGAACAACATTAACTAATTGTTATTTACTAACTAATCTTAAATGACTGTTCAGCACAGAAATGAAGCCCAACAATCATGTTTTACAGTCCCGTGGTCTCAGCCTCAGATACTCAACTAAAGTGATGTCATGACAAAAATGAATGACCAACAAAACATTTTTCTCCTTCATTTCTGTCAAACAAAGCTGTATGTAACGTGTCTCGCGGTTAGTATCATGGTTGCTAGGCAACCTGAACAGCGCGACGAAGCCTATACCGTCCCATTTCACAAGCCTCTCACTTCCGCACTTCTCGTACTTATAGTACGCACCGTACGTAGTACGCGTGGTGCGCGTGCAGTCTCTTAATTGGGACACAGCCGGAGCTAATTTAGCCATTTAAATCAGCTGTGTTGGTTCGAGGACACATCTAAAACCTGCAGGGACACCGGCCCTCGTGGACTGAGATTGCCCAACCCTGGGCTAGTCCATGTTATAGTATTTAAAGCAAATAAAAAAGTTTAAAGACAGCCCTGAGAACTCTGGCTAACCCTGAAAGAAAGGTGTGATACACCCAGGACAGGTTCACGAGTCTATCGCAGAGCTCCGATAACGATACTCAGATAATTATGCATGCTCACATTTACACCTACTAATCAGCTGATGTAACATGCATATCTTTGGACTCTAGGAGATAGCTAGAGTACCCACAGGGTTCTCCTGGTGCCCATGCAGGCACAGGGAGAACATGCAAACTCCACAGAAGAAGTGTTATGTGCAGTTTGAGTGTTATACTAATTAGTACTGCTGTTGTGGAGTGACACAGAACCACTGATGCACCATGTAAATAAAACTGGGTGCCATCTTTTGCCCACGGCTGAGATTGTTGGTCACACCTATGGTAGGATGAAATTCTCTGGAAGAAACCTTCCTTTTCAAGGAAAATGAAGAATTGTCACATGTTAAACTGATGTTAAATCACTTAAATTGTATTTTTTAAAAACTTGTAATGCAGTTACAATCAGGCTTTATAGTGCAGTGCAATCACTGCTGAGAAGCACTTACACTGATGATGTGACCTCTGCAGTATTGCATGGGAATTTGGTTGATTTAGCACTGTTAAATGTGAGTTTACATTAAAAAATAAAAACCTAACACATTAGTAACATCTCATTGGTGGTGGATTCTAACATTTTTGGTCCACTGTATATAAAAATAAATAGTTAAAAGTCTCTACTTTTCCCTTTTTTCCTTTAACTGATGTATTTGGCATGTATATGATGAGCAGTCAGAGTGCTCAGCTCTCTGGAGGCTCATTGCTTCCTTGCAAAGAGATACAGAAGCACCAGACTGTCCCACTCCATTTAAAATGTCCTACCAACCCACCACCTGTGTCCCTCCACCCCCCACAAACCCCAGGCATTAAGGAAAACATCATTCCTAGAAGTGCAGCTCTATGCTGTAAGCGGCTGGTGAGCACAAACTGTCAGATTAAGAGGTCTGAGAGGATGATCTGGCCAACATTTAGTCGGATTTCTGCCAAATTACCACCAAGCATGTTTGGGTCAGCCCTTTGGCACCCTGTGGAGAGCAATACTTCTGACATTCAAACTAGACATGTGAACAAACAACAAAAACTAGAGCAGTAGGAGGTCTGCAACCTGCGCCATGCAGTTTCCCTGCAGGTGGCCACAGAGCAGCTAAGGACGGGTTGGTCACTTAACTACTGGAAAAGGAAGCTAAGCATTTAGGTGTCTTAACTATGGCCTAAAGTGCTAACAAGGGATTAGTGAGGTGAACGTTGAAAGAGGTTTAGCACTCCATGCTTAGGGCCAGTGCTGCTTCAGTAATTACACATCAGTTGCAAGGTGCAGCAAGCAGTTGGATGGGAGATCATAGTGATGTCAGGGCAGGGAGGGCTTAAAACAGGAGATAAGGCCAGCTAATGGAGATGAAATGAATCAGTATTTAACAGGTCTTTTTTAGTTAAGGCAGTTAGCTGGCAGCAGACTGAACTCAAACCACTTGGCCAGAAATCTAAGGAGGCCATTTAGTTGGACGTGAAAGAGGGAAAGACGAAGATCTGTGAGCTCGCCAAAAACTTTTTGGGAAACATTTTTAACTTGATTTTAGTTTATTGGCTTTTTCATTTTTCTGGAATTGAGACACCAGCATCTTCAATCTCTGCTCAGCAGTGTGAACCTAAAGGTAGGTGGATGAAAACATCCTCTTTCAGTATTTTACACTCATTGATTTTCTCTGTACGTTCCCATCTAACAGTTTTATGTCTTTAATTGTCACAAACTCAGTGATGTTATAGGACGTCCTGTCTTATGTTTAGTTTTATCCTGTTTTTAATGTCCAGCTTTCTATTGGAATTTGCCGTTCTGCTTTTGCTTTTCTGTCAATGCATTTTGTAAAAGTGTCATATATGAGTAAAGCTACTGTTACCCACAAAACCCACAAAAAATACAAAACGAAATATTAAATATGCTAAATATTGCCATGCATCATTTTTTCCCCGTATGTGGATAATCTAGAGGCCAATACGATTAAAGGACAACCTTGAAATCCAAATAATTAACATGATAACTAGCCCAGATTTTGCATATAGCGCTCACTGAGTATTTCCAGATTGGCTTCTTGCATATTTTTTGCATTTGCACATATAAATTAATACTCATCCTTTCAATCAACACGTTGTCATGTAAGTTTATGACCACAAGCATTTCTTAAACTAGTGATATCTGCAACTCGGCACTTATTGTCACGAAATCTAATCTGCTTCATGCAACTGACAGTATTTGCATGGCTTTAGCTCATGTGTGTTTTGTGAGGGGATTAGGAAAGGCTAGACAATACTTCTGTCTTGTCTGATATGACCTCCTCAGGGCTCCATCTAAGTTGTCAGCAATTTTTCCCTTTAATTCATGCTTGTAATGAGATTAACCAGGCAACAGTAAATCCAAGGAGTCCAATCCCCGGATTTGGCAGCTGCGGTGTGGCCTCTGCTTGTCAAGGAAATATGACAAGAGTTTCCGTAGCTCACCTTTGACTAAAGTTTCACTTAGAAAAACACTGCAACCACTTCAAATTTGCATGTCTCACTTCAAAAGAAGCCAGTTTTGAAGATTTGTTACTGCAGTAAACTCAGTCTCAGGCTACGAATTCACTTAAGAGACTTAACGTGATCAGAGTGTTAGCTGTTTCCAACAGGCCTTATAAAGGATTCCTCTAAATGGCTCAAGTTCACAGACACTCCAGTTTCTGCCTCTGATGCATCACATTTAAAGAGCAAAGCATTAATTTCAGTAAATATCAGACTCACTGTTTAAAAACACTTTGTGCTGTTCTGCTGAGAATCCTGCAGACTTATTTATACGTCAGCTCAAAAGGAAAGAAAGAAAAGAAAGAAAGTGCAAATGCACAACAGGAAGTTGTGCATAGTCGGTGCACAGGCTGAACCCACATTTAAAATGTTATATCAACAGCAAACCTCACACACTTCAGGTACATTTAGGTACCTAAAGTACATTTTCTGTTTATGATGCTTGATGTGAATTAATCTGTTAAACTGAAGGAGACAGGGTGTCACATGCTGTGTGTGCAGAAATGTGAGTTGAAGTAATAAATTGACTTAAATGAGGAAAAGTGCTTACTGTGATAATGATGCTGATGTTTAAGATAATAATGAATATTTCCCCATTTACCAGGAGATATTTAAATTTGCAATAAAAAAAACTATTATTAGTTTTAAGGAATTTTAGATCTTCGTCACACCGTATTTATCTGTGCAGCTGTTTAAAAACTGGATCGCAGGTAAACACAGGTGTTGCTGCTGAGAGTGAACCTGTATTTAGGTACAGGCTCATTGGAATCAGACTTCTGTTCCTTCGTTGACATGTTGACTGATTTAAACTATGTTAGGTGTTTATCCACACTCTGAAAAACAATTAGTCTTTAAATAAATTCTGCAGTTTACTTCCTTTCTGATGAAAGTGTAAATATTGGCTGTGTGTAAAGGCGATGACACTTCAGGCGAGGCTCGGAGCTCAGTGCCCACTCGGGATTTACACGGACATTAATGCCGTGTAAATACATTTCTTCTTATTTGCTGATGGCTGCAGTGACATTGGCAGAGAGGGAGGTGAAGGGGGCATGTGTTCCCGCCACATAGCTCCACATAAACCGATTGCATCCCCAGATTTATCCCCAAGGTGTTTTGGGGACATCCTGGGAGCTAATGGAGACTAATAGGCTTAGCACTTAGGGTGTATTGTCCGGGATGCTTACAGGCAAGGTTTGCTGAGGGTAAAACTCTAAACGTGCGGATTACCTCCAACACATCCCTTTAAAGTGCTGTATAGCCAGGACTTAGCTAATAGGATCCTGAGGGTAGCAGGGGCCTGTGAAGGTGGGGACGGGGGTTGGATGGGGCAGTAGGGAGGACAGTGGGCAGGTCAGCAGATGTAGGTGGCAGACTGTTGCAGAACTAACAGAGGGATTAAAGTCGTCAGATTAGATGGGCTTCACAGGGAACTTGAGAGACTGTGGGTAATGCACAAGTCCTGGGTGCAAATCTAATGGCAGCATTTGACTAGGGGGAGGGTGGTACGGCAGAAATAATATGTCCAAGTGCATGTGCACAGCTTACACATGTCCCTGCACTGGCAGGCTCATCAGTTCAATCAGCAAACCTCATATGAAGAGGTGGTTCTGTGGGGTGAGCATCCATTATTCATGTCTCCAGATGCACACCGGCCCTGGATTAGCAGCGCTGGATTACTGTCGTTTACAGTATCATATTTTGTAATGGGATTTCTGCAGTGTGGAAGGCTAATTGGAGGTCTCTAAGTCGATTGCACTTATCTGCACAAGCTGCTGGTTCAGCCGAGAACAATGCGGGTATCTGGGGTGAGCGCACATGTGAGTGCGCCTCTATCCCTGTACAGGAGGACCAGCAGCATTTGCAAGGACAGAAAAGATGAGAAGAAATCGTCCAGTTGTTTGTTCTTCGTACGGGGTTAGGATTTGGATTTAACGGTTCGGGATTGATTTGCATTACGGCGAGGTATTAGCGTTAAGGTAGGTTTAAGATTAATACTTAAGGCCAGGTCTGTGGAAAAGGTGAGGTAAGAGTTATACTTAGCTGTAGTTAAAAAGGTCGCTTACAAGCCGTTTACAAATATTTACATGCTGCTGAAATCACTGCTGCATCTTTGCAGTCATAAAGTATGTAATAACAGACACTAGGCAGAATTTACCTGCAATGTTCAGTAATCAACGTGAGATAGAGAACTGCTGCTCTCTAATGGTGATGTGAGGGAATTACAAAAATGCACCCAGCACTGAGGGGTTTGTAGTTGGCTCAGTTTCAGCTACTGTGCGAAATAATCTTGTGTGATTTTATTTTACCTGCCACGCAAAGCGTTATAGGATCAATGTGTCAAGTAAACTGTCTAGTTTATAGAAATCCTTCAATTGGCTCTCTTTCTTAACAGCATTCAGGTGGAGGTCAAAGGTCGTGAGTGTGTCATGACCCCACGGGAGCAGCTGAGGAAGATGACAGCGCTAGGGGAGCAGGGGTCTTTGGATGAGAAGCACTGGTACCGACTCGTCAATGGGATGTCTGCTGGAGGTGAGGAGGATGAACAGCGTAACAACAAAAACCAAGAAAATATTATTTAACTTTTCAGGTTTTATTTATAGACAGAGTTGATTCTGTATTTGGCAATTTGGGTTCTGTATTTGTATTTGGTGATCAAGCCTGTTTTCCCTCACCTTCCCTCACGCCGTGTTTGCACGTTGGTGGATTGCTCAGTAGCACCTGCAGGCTCCAGCTTTAACAGTCAGTGCATGCGCCAGGTGAAGCAGCTAAAACGGCCTCCCGGTGACCTGTGGTGCTTTTTCACTTCTTGCAGAGCTGAGGCAGAGGCAGGAGCTGATAATGAGGAACCAGATGGCTATGGCACCGCAGATCCTTGCCCAGGGGCAGCAGAGGTTACAGGGGGTCCCCGCACAGTTCGAACCTCGGTTCATGGAGAGGTCAGTAGCTGAATTCTGTCCTAAACTTACAACAATAGTTGTCTGAAAAAGGGCAACCACAAGAAAACGAGTAGAAGAAAATGCTGCAAGAGGTGTCCGTGTAAAAAATCTGCTGCTCTTTTCTGTTCTTTTGGACAATTAAAATGTTTATAAGGCTAAAATAGTCCTCGCAAACCAGCTGTTTTTATATGGAGTTCCAAAATTGGCAAAATGATTATGTACACATTAATTTATGTGCCTAATTTCTTCCCCTCCTTCAAGAGGCATTTTGAAAATCTCTCAGTTAAAACTAAATGTATGTGAAACAGAAATGCATAAAGAAATGTCAGAGAAAATAAAATAATAAATAATTAAGGGGAAATAAATATGAAAACAGTAATTCATAAATACAAATAAATTAATTTTAAAAATGAAACATAAATAGAGTAATACACACTTTGTTTTTGGCCACTTTGGTCCTCCACATTTTGATTCTACAAATATATGCTTTTTAAAGTGTTTTCCAGTTCATAAATTTTCTTCTTTGTTTATTCCTCTTATCAGGGAGTTAGTTCCACCTACCGAGATGGTCCCGTCTGAAGCCAGGCAGATGCACATGGGCCCTCACCTCGGTCCACCTCTGCCTCCTCATGCCAACGTCCTGCCTGGAAGAGGTTTCCCTGCACCAGGTGAGCGCCACAGAAATATCGCCTGAGATAATTCCCAGACAGCCTGTCTCATTTTAATGCGCGGTGATAGGCATTGACAGATTGTCTGTCTCTTCCTGTTCCTCAGCTGGATATGGCTTCTTACCCTCAGAGCCCATGGAAACTGTTGCCCGGCGACAAGAGCTCATTCACAAGCAAAATATAGCCAGGTATTACGTGCCGAATATCATCATCACCATCATCATCTCACAGAAATTATTCCACCCGCACGCTTTGCGTCACTGTTTTTACTGAATACGACTGAGACTTGATCCCCCCACCCATGCTGCAGCAAGGGTTTTATATCATGGCTCCATCACCACTGCTGCACAAATATGTCTAAAATATTTATATGCACTTCTTTTCAGAATGGAAATGAATGCCATCCTGCATCAGAAGGAGCTGGAGAATGCGCACCAGAAAGGCTTGATGGGAATTGAAAATCCCATGTCATACCCTTCCAACCCCATGATGTTTAGAGGTCGTCAGCGCATGCCAGACGGCCACGATGTCTTCGTCCACCGGCCCACCCTGGATGAACTGCACTCCAACAATATTCTTATGTCAGCCAACCCATATCCAGCAATAAGCACGCTGCACAGAGAGCGGGGGCGCAGAGCAGGTCGGAGGCCAACTGTTCACAAGAGTATGGAGAGCCATGTATCCAACGTGAAGGGTCAGACTGAAGATAAAAGTGTAGAGCAGAGCCCAGGGGCCGCATCGGGGGAGGAGAAGGAGCTTGAGCCAAAGGGGGACATGGGAGAGGAGTGTGCCACCAGTAAGACACATCATCAGGCCAAAGTAGACCCTGAACTGGCCACCGGAAGCAGGAAAAACTACAAAGATGGGGAGCCAGGCCTCCGGAAAGCCTGCGTGAACAGCCAAGATGGGAGTTCAGATGCAGCCAACAGTGGAACAAATGATAAAGACATATCTAGCCAATGTTCGACGTTCCAGGAGAAATTCATGTATCCTTCCACTGGAGGAACTCTAACAGGGATCCCTTACATGTTCCCGGTCCCTGGAAATGGTTTTCTTCCTCCTGGTGAGTTAAGAAATATTAAATAATAACACTTGTGCTTAAAACTGTGAAATGTTCTGCTGCCAGTTATTTAATATACTTGCATTTTTTGTCTTTAAAGGCCCACCAAATCTCTTTCTAAATGGTGAGGAGGTACCCGAAGACATCAGGAAGTGGACAGTGAATGATGTGTACAACTTTATTAACAGTATTCCCACGTGTTCAGAGTATGCCCAGGTTAGTAGCCTCACATTTTGTTGTTGCTGCCTCTAAATTCATTCTGTTGTGACTTTCTAATGTTGGGTTATTTTTAATAGACTTTCAAGGACCACATGATTGATGGAGAGACGCTGCCCCTCCTATCAGAGGAGCATTTATTGGATACACTGGGACTGAAGCTGGGGCCAGCTCTTAAGATCCGCTCACAGGTACAAAAACACAGATTCTGACTAGAAATGTAATCCCGAGCCACCAAAGACAGGATTTGAAGGGATTATCTGATGTACAAGGATAAATCTTGAATAAAGGTTTATTTACATGACCGCTTATTTATACAACTCCATGTGAGGAGGTTTTATAAATATCCTTGATGAGTGTTTTATGGGCTTTGTGTGGAAGCTTATTTCCACAAGTGACAAAAGACCATTTTTGCTTTGGGCTATTATCCTAAAATTCTGACTCAATAACTAGAAATTTCAAATTGTCTCAGAAGTTTGAGTCAGTAAGTCAAATTTTTAAGATAATAACCTGAAATTTTGAGTTTTGGCTAACATTTCGTTGTAGTTGTTGTTGTTGCAGAAACAAGCTTCCACAGATTTGAACTGAAGTTACCTCACTTTATTAAAGGGATAAAGTAAAGTTTGTTTAACCAAACATGTCCTTAGTGGAGTACAGCCCCTATTAAAAACCCCAGTTTTTTCTTTACTATGAGAGCTAAAATGTCTACTGTGAAAAAGTTTATTCACTAATTGTATTTAATTCATTCTTATACGCCAATGTCTCAGTTATAGCACAAATTATTTCAATTAACATCTACGTGCTCCTTCCCTCTTGCTCTTCTTCTTCTACAGGTGTCCAGACGTCTTGGTAGCATGTTGTACATGATGAATCTGCCACTCTCCACTGCCCCACTGCAGGCCACCCCTGAGAAGCCCGGGGAGCGCTCATCAGAGATCGGCTCTCCCATTAACTGCAACAGTGAGGAGATGGTGGCAAGTCCAAGAGATCCCGATGTCATAAAATCCGCTGACCACCTCCACGACGCAGAAAACAACTCGCCTCCATCTGCCAGCAGTGAGACTGCCTGACCAGTGGAATAATGTAAACCAAAGCAGGGTACAACAGCACGCTTTGGTGAGCTGCTGCTGCCGCTGTGGTGGATTTGTTTACACTGTGCTGAACTGGACTGAAGATCCACATTTCAGGTTCCTGTTGAACGTTTTATACATTTAACAGCAGCAGCTGCAGTGGAGTGAAAGTGATGTGGATTTTAAGATACAGTATCAGACGCTGATAAGGTCCTACATCACTTTTCTTCGCTAGTCTGATTATAGCTTCTTGAATTATTCTTGCAAGCTGCTAAACGCTCCTGTAGGCTGACGTGCAGAGCATAGTAATCATATTTTGGAAATATTTTATAAACAAAATAATGACATATTTAAATATTCTGGATTTTGATGCTTGATACATTTTTTTGCATTTCTTATACTGTAAATAAAGTGGGGGGTTTTCTACACAGGAATCTGCATCTTCTTGTCATCACATGGAATCAATAGGTTGGGCTCAATGAGAATATTGTGTGAAGTTTGCATACATTCGTCATGAGTATTAATTTAATATGTTACTTTGGGGCTTGGGCAGCACGGTGGCACAGTGGTTAGCACTGTTGCCGCACAGCAAGAAGGTCCTGAGTTCAATTCCACCATCAGGCCGGGGTCTTTCTGTGAGGAGTTTGCATGTTCTCCCCGTGTTTGCGTGGGTTCTCTCCGGGTACTCTGGCTTCCTCCCACTGTCCAAAGACATGCACTTAGTGGGGATAGGTTAATTGGTTAATCCAAATTGCCACTAGGAGTGAATGTGAGTGCGAACTGTTGTCTGTCTCTGTGTGTTGGCCCTGCGACAGACTGGCGACCTGTCCAGGGTGTACCCCGCCTCTCGCCCTATGACAGCTGGGATGGGCTCCAGCGCCCCCCGCGACCCTGAACAGGATAAGCGGACGCGAATGGATGGATGGATGGACTTTGGGGCTTTTTCTTTGATCTCTTTTTTTCAGTTTTAATGACTTGTTTAAAAACAAGAACTGGCTCCTGTAACACCCCAGAGCTACTGAGTCAGGGGAGCACATACAAACATGTCCTCGCGTGTCGAGGCAGCTTTTAGAACTGACGAAGCTTCTGGAATGAGAGGTTAAATGTTTTTAGGATCAAACAGGAAGGACAGTTGCCTTTAATTCAACCTCTTTAGTGTTTCATGAGTCATGACCTGGATGACTATACAATCATATAACTCCATCATCTATTGTCTGGTGGATGCAAATAGTTGAGCAACAAAATGATTGAGCAGATAATTGCCTTGACTGTTGCAACAGTCAAGGCAATTATCTGCTCAATCATTTTCAAGCTGAAAAAAGTCATGTGTTGTTTTTTTGTGAATGGAAATGGGAAGGCTTTAGAGAAAAAGCTTTAGCTGGCAACAGTGTTTGTGTTCCACTCTGGGGCACTATACTTTTCCCAGTTTGCCGGGACTACATTCACATTATTCTGTTATCTTCTCCTTTTTTGGCAGCTCTCTTTAGAGACCCTCACACCAGCCCATCTACCTCCATCTCACCCTGGCCCTAGCAAACTCCTCTGTCACACCATTACTCTGCATGTCCTCCTTCCCTACATCCATGAATTTACTCTGTCATCTTCCTCGTCTCTTGCTTCCTGGCAATTCCAACATTCGCCATCCAGTTTATCCACTGTCTCCTCTGCAAATGTCCAAACCGTTCAACCTGACTTTCCCTCTGATATGCTAAATTCTAATAAACTCGTCTCTTTCTGTCAGCGCCATCATCTCCAAACCATACATCATAGCAGGTCATACCATGTATTGTTTGTATCCAAATTCTTAATAAAAACACAATAGTTCTATGTAATAGAATTATCCTTATCGGTATTATATCTAATACTGTATTACAAATATATATTATTCAAATATTAAATGTATTAAATTAGATCTTGAATTTTATCAATGGGAAACGAACGTTAGGCTAGTCTCGCGATACTACGTTCTCCATGCGCGTGCGCAGCCTCGAGCACGGATGAGCTGAGTTGGAGGATCATGGCGGAGCGCAGGAGGCACAAGAAGCGGATCCAGGTAACATCAATTTAATTCATAAAAAAACCCCGGTTCCTGTGGGTCGGGGGGCATGGGTGAAAGTGGGCGCCGGTTTATGACCCACTGCTGGATCTTTGTTGACGGCAGCGTCAGCGCGGGATGCTGCGAGCAGGCGCCAGATGAAGCCAGAGGATGGAAACGGTAGCTAGCGTTAGCAGGCTAGCGAAAACAAACGATAGGATTTGTATTTTAACGCGACCTTTCCAAGCTGGTTCTTGTGTGCGCTCCCAGTAGCCATCATGTCTTTGTCTAGACTTCACGATTAGGTCGTTGTAGTGTCTGCTTAGTGGTTCCTGGGGTCGGTTTTCATTTTATCTTGGATTGAACTGGCTGGCTGCAAACGTTGGCTGGCTAAGCTGCGTCAGCTTTAACCAAGCGTGTTTACATAACGTGTGGGAACTTAATTAATGAGTCTATGCAGCGCATCTCCACATAACTGACTGTGCAGCAGACTGCAAATTAGATCGGCTCCAGGAGCAACAGTTTAGAGACGTTACAGGTCACGTTTGCATCACTTGAAATACGCCTGAGGTCATTGTTGGTCTGTTTTGCGTGTCCTAAACCAAAACTTCTCAGTT